CACACACACACACACACACACACACACACTTTTCCGAAAGAAAAAAAAAGAAAATAACTTTTGGGGAAGCGAGGGTTGCTGTTCTTTTTTCTGCGTTATTTGTGAGGCAGCGTGGTGGAATCAGGCTCTCGTCAAAATAATCAAATTGAAGAAACTTGCATTTTTCCACAGGTTTGTGCATTTTTGTCAAATTTTTGTTTTTTGCCTCAACACCTTTCATGGCCATTAAAGAACTCATTTCTGTGTGGATTTTTCTGAAAAACGTCGATTAAAGGCACAAAAAATGTAAATTTTCAGTTACATCGGACTCTTCAAATAAGGGAATAACTAATCTTTGGCCGCCATTTTCTCACTAATTTTACCCCTGAAAACAGGTGACCCCCACCTCTTTCATTCGCAAATACCTCGATTTGTTTTTTAATATAAATGGATATTTCCCTCAACCAAATAAAGACAAGTGAACAAGCTTTAAGATGATACCAATAACTCTACATGCCCAAAAATTGACGAGAGCCTGATTCCACCACGCTGCCTCACATTTCTTTTTCAGTTGATTATAAAATACAAGAAACCCAACTTTCATGCATTCTAAACAGGCGGGAAAATGACACATCCTACGTATTGTATCTTCTGTTCTTCTCAAAGTGATATCATCGAAGATTTGTTTGTTTGTTTGTTGTTTGTTTGAGTAAAGAGAAGCACATAGACACAATTATGGTTATTTTTAGCAGGGGAAAAGTAAGACAGACAGACAGACAGACAGACAGACATAAATAACAGAGGGGAGCGTACAAAAGTAGGAACTACCAGTGGCACCCTCCAACCACTCACCTCATCATCGACGACATGACTTTAAACTGTTCAATAAATCATGTAATAAAGCAAAGCAACAGACCAGAAGAAGATAAAACAAAACATTTGTTTCTGGATTCTAGAATGTGGAAGAAATGACATTGCTCTTCCTGGACATTTTTTCCATTTTTACATTTTTCATTTGTTGTGTTTTGCTTTGTTTACATTTCTAAAGCCTGTAAATAAATATTGCTTTCATTTTGGGTGACTTTTAGCGTGTTCTAAAGCCTGTAAATAAATATTGCTTTCATTTTGGGTGACTTTTAGCGTGTTCTAAAGCCTGTAAATAAATATTGCTTTCATTTTGGGTGACTTTTAGCGTGTTCTAAAGCCTGTAAATAAATATTGCTTTCATTTTGGGTGACTTTTAGCGTGTTCTAAAGCCTGTAAATAAATATTGCTTTCATTTTGGGTGACTTTTAGCGTGTTCTAAAGCCTGTAAATAAATATTGCTTTCATTTTGGGTGACTTTTAGCGTGTTCTAAAGCCTATAAATAAATATTGCTTTCATTTTGGGTGACTTTTAGCGTGTTCTAAAGCCTATAAATAAATATTGCTTTCATTTTGGGTGACTTTTAGCGTGTAAATAATTTGATGGGAGTGGATACCGAAAATAAAGGTTTATTTCCATTTTCAAACGTGTTTTTTTTCTTTTTTTCTCTTTCTTTCCGTATGCCTTGTGCCTTGTAATAGATTTTGTACTCGTATGTACACCTTATGAAAACCCCACTGGAACAAATAAGCTGTTAGGCTCTGAGTAAACGTAACAAAAAATCCTCTGGTCGCGTGGCTTCGAGTATGACGTCACTTCGTTGTGAAAAGAGACAAACGAGCCGTTAAAATTACTTCAGCTGATATACTCGCAGCCGTGCGATCTTATCTTATCTTATCTTGTTTTATCTTGTCACGTCTTGTCTTGTCTTGTCTTATCTTATCTTATCTTGTCGTATCTCGGTCTTTCTGCTGGAATGTTGTATCCCCTTCAGCCCGGGTTGACCCTGATAGAATGGATGAGAAGCCGCCTCCTTGAACTTAGTGGTCTAAATTGTGTCAATGGGGAAGTAAAAACACTTAAATAAAATTATTTTTAAAAACCAGCTCGATGTTACACTTTTCTGGGAACCATAACTGAGACTTTACAATGACACCCCCCCCCCCCCCACACACACACACACACACACCCACACACATACCCACACACACACCCACACCCACACCCCAACCACTGTGACCTCCAGTAGCGGCTCGTGGTTTATAGAACTGACCGGCCGTCATTCACGTCGACTATTCCTTTCCTTCACACACACACACACACACACACACACACACACACACACACACACACACACACACACACACACACACACACACACATTTTCTCTCTCTCTCTCTCTCTCTCTCTCT